CTTTGATGCAAGAGAATTAGAAGTAGACTTACATTTAATACTTCCACACTTCTTCAAGAATTTGTTAGTCCCCCTTCCCTCCAAATATAGTGAAAACATTAACTCAGTAACAAAAATGCTGATAACATTGTATCACTCCAGTCTGATTACTATGACTATCGAAGTGCCCCATGTAACTCTTACAAAATGTTTCACAGACAGTTCAAAACCTTTGTAAACATTCTCTTCAAACCCGAGGCAAATTTTGCAAAAAAGCAAACAAAAACAAAACAACCAGATTTATCATAACTATCTGTACTTACCTAACTGTAATGCTTTTTCCAGTTCTTGGTAGTAATGCTTATTCTCTGGATTTCTCCGCAGTAGGTCTCTGTAAATTCGCTCTGCCTCCTTGAACTGCTTTAATTCAAGGAGTAAAGACCCTGGAGTAATGCAATAGTGGAGTGACTTTAGCTTCCTTGACACAATCACTAAATGCCCTGTACCACAAGTAACTTCCCAACTTGTTAAAGAAATGCTATGCACTGAGTTTATTAATTAAGGCTTTCGGCATTGCAGCACCATTTTTGAGGCTTATATTAAAGTTCAACGTTTTACGTTTATAGATAAATTAGAAACTTTTCTTATCAACTGCTAAATCTTTAGTTTCCTGCTTTATCAAGTCTGTGTATGTGCAAATAACTATTTTATGTACTTGATCCTTAAAGAATAGCTTTTAAATAAATTCAGGAGAAGGTTCATTAGAATAAGCCTTGCGGTTTTTAATGACACCTTGCCAATTAATTGTACTCTTGTACATTGAATAACATTATAATAGATTCATGGCAAAATAATATGCTGAAACTGAAAGTTTCAAAGTTCTCTTTACATACAAATAACTTCCCTTCTAACAGTTTCACTAGTATTAATAAAGATGCAGTATTTGTAGTAAAGATATTTCAAACAACATTGCCTAAGTCATACAAACTCCCAAAACTACATGTAGTTAAAAATAACTATTACAACCACATTAAAAAAAATAATCATAATAACACTTGGATTTATATCAAAATTTAAACCTCTTACATTTTGACAATCTGACAGTTGCATACAAGCTAGTTAACCTTTTAACTCCCGAGATCTCATTAGTAATTCTCCTTGCTGTCTGCCAAATGATTCTCATTATGTTAGTTTGGAGAATTCCGTATCAGATCAATTAGTGATCCGATAATTGATATTTTTCTTAATTCTTATCACCTGTTTGCATGACATTATATCAATAAAGTAAAGAGAAATTCTGTCATGGTCACTCACAGGAGTTAAAGGGTTAAGTTAGATAAGCACTGTACCTTTGATTTCTCGCACCACAAGTTTATCATGCATCAGTAGTTCATAGCTTGTCAACTGATCCAAGGCCTTCTGAGGTCTTCCAGCTTCTCTGAGCACCATATTTTGATACAAGAGCAGCTCACCATGCTCAATGTCATACTTTGGGGAGGAAATCTAATGTAAATGCACAATTATACCATTAAACCCTTACAACCTAACATCAGTATGCATATTCTCTATACAATTCCTAAGGTGCTGATAAGGAAAATTTGTATTATGATCAAGAGCTTATTCTGTTGGTGATCATTTCCTTTATTCTCATAACCTCAATGTTTGATTCAGAGGTGATATTGTGAGAAGAACTTGGATGCTAGTCGTTTTTAGGGGCCAAAGGGTTAACTGTTACCATTCCATAATAAGCAATCTTGCAAATAACCTATTTTTTTATGGTAAGGCATTTTTCAGGTCAATAATTACTTCTAAGCAAATGGCTCCTGGATACTTGTAAGGTGTATTGATGTACAAATGTACAAGAGATTGAACTGAAGAAAAAACACTGAAAGAGAATCCTTACATTTTGAGTTTTGCGAAACTCATCCAGAATCGTGAATGCCATGTCATAATCTTTCAGCAAATGGTAGGAGATAGCATATCCAATCCAAGAAGCCCTCTGTCCTGGCCTGAGTTTCAGCAACTGGTATCTAGTTTCCTGCAGCAAATATTTAATAAATCAAAAAAAACAAACAAACAAACAAATATTAATCAACAACCACAAAAACAAAAACCGATAACAAAAGCTAAAACAAAACAAATACATGAAAACAAAACAAAAATGAATTAAAAACAGGAATATGAGAATTTAAACAATTATAAAAACAATCAATTAAGTTATGCCAATAAACAAGTATACAGAACTATTCACTGGAAATTTACACCATGTGTAATAAATGATCCCTATGCCTTCAGTTAATGAGAAACAGGTACACAGAAAATGACTGAGGATCTTCAACCTTTACAAGTATTTTCATACTAATGAAAAAGGAAATAAGAAATTTTGTCAAAGCTCCAAAGTGTTCATTGAAACACAAGTGTTAATTGAATCAAACATATTGTTTATGTTCAAATCAAAATTAGCAATACAAACAAGTTTCAGTGAAAGAAGACTTTATGAAGTAAATGACACAAGCATACTTAAAAGAAAAAGAACTGCAAATTCTTACAATAAGTGTTGAACTTATGACCTTGTGAGTGATATTTCAGATGTTCTCCACTAATCTTTAGGAGACTCATGGCTGACAAGACCATTCAGCAAGTATGTTCGTACAGGTAAAAAGCACTCTTAAGTTTATGTTTAAGTTAAAACAAAGTTATAAGCTTTGGAAATTTGATATTCATACAGTACCCTGTAACCCTCCAAATCCCGCATCTGAATCTGCAATAGTGACAGATCTCTCAATATTTGGATATTTTCCTAAAAGAACACAAAATATCTGGTTATACAAGCACATGTAAATGTGTTATTACTGGCACAAATTTAAATTGTTTAAGCAATAAATTTCATCCTGGAGAAAATTCCATATCTGAAAAATGGAACATTGCACAGTAAAGATATGTGCATAGATACCCCCAACCCCCAACAAAAAAAAAAAATAAAATAATAAAATAAAGTTGTACATATGCTTAGCAAAGTGAAAGGAAAAAATTATACATAAAATCCAACCAGTTTCTATTAGCCTGATAACCAACCTTATCCCATTTCAGTGCATTCCTGTAACACTTGATTGCTTCATCATATTTTTTATCAGATCTTTGTAACAGTCCATAAACATGCCAACCTATCTCACAGTCAAGGTAAAAGTGACAAAACACAGCAAGAAACTGTAACTCTTACATGTACAAATACACAAGTCCTGACACATGTCTATCTATAAAATGATCCATATTAAGCTGGCTGCTTTAGTTGCACACAAGAGAGATAACTGGAAATTGGTTTCCAAGACTTTCACTGTGACTAGTCAGCTCTTAGAGAGATATCACCCATGTGGCTTTCCAGCCATGAGTGCATAGTCCAGGTCTGTATCAAACTTGAGTGAATTGGTGAAAAGGAAGAAGTGAGGATGTGGAAAGAAACAAAAATATATTTAAATAGTTTGGACATTAATGATCTTACCACTCAGTATTTAGAATAATTCAAGGTACTTGGAATTCTATTCTTATGGGTATTACATATTCCCTCTGAAGTCTTTACATAATTAAAGAAAAGGAAGACTGTTAACTCCTTAATATGCAGTATGAACAGCGCCTGAATAAATTGTTTTTGTCTACAACACTAGCCACTATTTAACAAGAAAAAAAAAAGACTTTCTTTAATTTCTTTGGGTTTTTTTTTCTATTCTACTTGCCTGTTGGCATTAAGTCACAGCAATCTAGTTGCCAGCAATGAAGATTCCAACTTATTGGCAATAATTCAGATATAATTTTAGAAGACTTGTGCCCTGACTGTTCTGAACCATTTTGCTTCAATACTCAAAAGTGGATATTTGCAAGATAAAATCTACCTTTGGCTGCCATCACTGGTATAGACCATGTATAATGAAAGAAATGACTTTTTGGCAATAAATTCGAAAATGTGCACAACATTGGCATCAATGAAACTGAAAAAACGGTTATGAATAAAACTGCAAAAATAGCCATGTTTTCATAATTCAAATGAAACCCTCAAGGTAGAAAATCATACATGAAGCAACAACAAGTTGTGTGAAAAGGTGAAACAAGACGCTAAAATGTAACCCTGTTACTTTGGAGTGTGTCACATGATTCATGTAATTGGCTCAAGGACACCTGAAGCTCAAAAAACAAACACGCGAGTAAACTATGCGATCTAATTGGTCTTTTACCAAGTAACTATCTTTGCGGCTTTTTTCACGATGAAGTTAATTTAACAATTTTCACATGTTATTTCAAAACCTGACAAGGATACACACATGACTCTTAAGGTCATTTCGCAAACCTCGTCGAACAAATTCATAAGCTTCCTCCTTTCTCCCCAAGCAGTTGAGAGTCAAGCCTTTCATTGCCAACGTTTCTGCATTACCAATAAAAGAAATTCTAAGTTAAAGACCACGTAAAACGCACAGTCAACGACCTAAAGAAGTCGACAGAGTGCAGATAACGTTTTAATGTCAGCTTATCAATGACCACTAAGTAATACGTACACAGGTTGTACAAATCGATTTACATGCGGATCAAACGTAAACAATTCACAAACCTCCGTGTTCCGAGAACTTCGGATTGGAAAGGATCTGCTTGGCGAATTTCAGCCCATTTTTGTACTGCTTGTGTTCGTAGCATTTCTGCAAAAAAACCGTAACGAGGAAGTGAACACGCGCCGTGAAATCGACAAGGCGTGCTCCAGTCATAAGAAGCGATCTCTCGGAGTACCAATGCTATTAGAAGCCTTAACGAAAACTTACCAGTATTCTTTTGAACAGAGCGTTCTCTTTGGGTGGTAGGGTAGTCGGCATGATGGTGGACTACTCAAGGACAGGCCTCTACCACCGAAAGGTCAGATTTGCTGGCCGGCCTCGTGGAACGAACCAAAATGGCGACTGCATCGATGGCTGATTTATTACCCGTAGTGCTTCGGGACACTGAGTAAGTCGATTGATTGAGTGACCAAGCCTGCTCTACGTTCAAGTCTTGAGATCTACACAAACATGCATCAGGGGTTATTTTTCCCGTAACCTTATCTGTCAGAAAAAGAGTAATTCTACTTCTTAGCTGTAGGATAGTATAGCGTTTTCTCTTTACCGTTATTTCAAATATTTCAAAGTCGCCTTTTGAAAATAACCTTTGTCCTCGACCCAGTTTTCCACCCACTACTAACAGCCACGTTCATAAGCAAGATGGCGGAAGAAGATGTTGTCAAAGAGATAGCGGTTAGTGACTTTCTTATCAAGGGCAAAACTGAGCTGCTTACTTCTTACTCGACTTACGCTTTATAAACTTGCATACGCTTATTTTGATCAACAGCACAAACCAATTACGTCAAATTTTAGTCATAAATCAGTGTAAAACTCTTAAATAAATGCTGGTCGCTTTGGAATAGATATTTTTTGGAAGCGATCGAGTTTCTTTGAGTATTTAAAACTGGGATTGAATGAGTTTGAGTTATTTAAAAAACAAAAGAGTTTAAAGACGCTCATTTATGTCCCTTAGAGTAACCTACTTTGTATCTTTGCCATAATTTATGAAGATTATTACGGTAACTGTACTTAAGAAAGTAAGATGAACAAGGCCGCTTCTTTAAAATCGTGGACAGGACTTTTCTCGAAAAATGATTCCTCATTCTCTAAAGTCACAGACCGTAGTTGCCACCGAATCTTGGATTTTTTTTTTGTCATATTTCAGACTCAGCGATCATACATGAAAGTAGCTAGATGGGACTTATTTAATTTTGCAATGTGCACTCACTAGCAAAAGCACTTTGAATGCTGATTGAAATAAGGTCCCTCTTTTGGTGAAAGAAGTCCTTTATTTTATTTTAGAAGGGCTGCCCTAGCTTCTCTCCAGAGAGTGTAGAATTCCAGCTGCAAAGTTAGATTGAGGGAAGTCAACATTTTATTGGGAGTAGGAGGGGCAGGCACACACCAGAACAACTAGATTGGGAAACAGACTAAGACTATTGCAGATAATTTTGTGTCATTCGAGATGTTTGTTAATTGATTTTTTAATAATTTTAAGACCAAATAGTGTAGACAGTCAATATATATTTATATATGCATTATATACATGTATAAATTTATATTTCATATTACATGTAAATTAACCCTTTAACTCCCAGACCAAATTTTTAATTTTCTTTACTATCAACCATACAATTCTAGTAATCTTAGTTCAGAGAATTTAGTATTGGATCAATCAATTATCCCCAAATTGATATTTCTTTATTCTTGTCAGCTATTTGGTTGATAGTGTGTTGATAATTGTAAGGAGAAATTCTGTCTTGGTCACTCATGAGAGTTAAAGGGTTGAGTATTAAGGATCTGCAGTCAAGTGTGAAACACAGGGTACTTATAACTTATAAAGGGTAAAACATCATGATGCAGAATCTGTAGCTCAGTTGTAGAGTGTCAGAGTGCAGAACTGAAGATCTGGGATATTATTCTTTGGAGGGAACCCAGATTTACTCATCCATATGAAGAATCCAACCACAGAACCTTGCATTTCAGACCGTGATGCTCTTAAGTACTGAGCTACAGAGAACTCTGTGTGGAACTACAATAAGGCAAAAGTAGTCGTCATGGTTCTTGTTAGTGGGTGATTGACAACCCTTCACCTAATAAAATTAATAGAAATCTTGTAGTTCATATTACCTCTTGTAAGTTGCCATAAAAACCTGCAGATAAGCTGCACCTTTTTTCCAAAAATCATTGCTAGAAATTAGGGGTGCAGCTTATCTGCGGGAACATTTGAAAAAGGTGTCGTGAATGTCATCCGATCTAATACCTGGTTACTAAGCCTCAAATGTTCAGCTCATGTTCTTGTTTTAATGCAAAAATCTATGGAAAAACTGTGATGAATGAAGAAATTCCTATCAACAAATACCAGAAAAAGATCAGTCATTTGTCAAAGTTGGTAGAAATGATGTTCATTATATTAAAGTGTTAAAATTGTGGGTAAGAATTTGAAGTATTTCCTATTGAAATGTTAATAGTGAGTTTACATTCAATGAACAGTGGATGAAGAAGACTTCTCAATACTTGACTTTGGATTTCTTTTGATTTCTTTCAAAAAAACTTTTTGACCAAAATTTAGCTGCTAAATTCAGGGTGCTGCTTATCTGCACATTTTTACGGTAACTGAAAATTCCCCCAAACAATGTTAATAAATAGTAGATCTTTTGTTGACATCAGGCAATGGGGAAGAGAAGTAAGGGTTATAAAAAAGAATGAAAAGTACTGTAGTGGGTTGTGCTTAGACTTTTGCCTCTCATTGTAGGCCATTGTTAGCTTGTGAGCTACTGCCATTAGGTTTATTATTATTTGTTAAGATGTGAACCAGGACATCAGTGACACACTTGGCTGTACTTCGTGTGCTACATTTTTTTTCCTATCACATTTTGACCTCATCTGCTATCTATCACAAAAGAAATGGGTTGCAACTTATAGATTGGAATCTATTTGCAATCAGATTAATTGTACAAAAATTTATTTCAGGTTGAAAGTAATGGGTCTATTCCAAATGTAAAACCACTCAGCAAAGAGGAATTATGGAGGTAGACTTTCCTTGATTTCTTTCATGTAGCAGCATATTGCACAAGGCTTTTGAATTCATGCAAGAATAGCCTTTTAATTACCTGAGTTAAAAAATTGGTGAGTTTTTTAGGGTGGTCATAAAAGACAGAATTCTTAATCAGAAGTCAGACTACCGGTAGGTAGGAATTAAATCAGCTTTAGAGTAAGACCATCTTTTCATGCACAAGGGATTTCAAAAGGTTTTGAACCATATGAAGTGGGGAGAATGCATGTACAGTGTTCATGTAAGGGAACAGGAGTGAAACATGCAAGCACTTTTCCTTATGTCTGGAAAGTACACTGTATGTGGATACCAAACTAACAAAATTTGATTATCAACTCTTCCCAACAGTTGCCATACACTTCTAGACAATTACATGTTTATCAAGATAATGCCCTCTTCCTGACAAATTTCTAAGGTTCAAAAGAATTGTGATAGAACCCAATTCTTACACAGACTATAAGACAGTTTTTGTGTTAAATCATAATTATGCCCAATTGTAAATTAAATCATCTTTTGTTTTATGTTTTACAGGATAGAGCATGAAAAGTTACATGCTAAACACAAAGGACATGAAGCAATGCACATGGAGATGGTTCTTATTTTATTTTCTACTCTAATAGTTGCACAGGTTCTTCTGGTAAAATGGAAAAAACACTACTACAAGTCATTCATGGTGAATAATCAATTTGAATCAAAACTTGATTTTAAGAGTTTTTTGTTTTTACTTTAGCATAATATCCACATGTGAATGCAACCTGAATTGCTGTGGGCAAGTCTTGTCTGGCCAACATGTATACAGTCCAAGTCTTTAGGTCTTTTAAGACCAAAGTGGTTTATTTAAGCAATAAAGCACATTTTTTCTGTCAGTTTAACAGTGTAATAAACCATGAGATGTTGGAAGAACAGGCAAAAAGTTTGTAAATAAGCTACCGCAGGTGAGTGGTTTACAAACTTTTCTCATGTTTTGCCAACATCTTAAGTGGGTAATTACACCCCTAAGCATATAGGAAGTGCAGTCTATTGCTTTTATTGAATGGCTACATGTATGGGTTTACAGAGGGACAGTGCAGATTTTGACCCAGCAGGGCACTTGTAACATCTCAATTATTTTCTGAACTGCTGTAGAAACTACTCTTGCAATCTAGAAGTCAATTTTTTTTTTTGAAAATGTAAATTTAAGAAACTATTTGGAAGTGTTGCACAGAAATTTCATCCAGTGCATCTCAACCTTAATAGTTAAGAGCTTTAAATGATTGTGATTAATATCAGTTTTTTTGTTGATAAATGTACACTGTCACAAAACTATCTGAAATGAAATAGCCTAGAGTAAAATGTTTTTATTTATTGAGACATATTATGTAGAAATACCAATAATCATCTTCTCCAAATAATAATTGATTACAACATTTTTGTTTTCTTTCTTATTCAAGACTGTGACCCTTGTTGGCATGTGGTTAATTCCTCTTTACTTCAATGTACAACTCAAGTTCTGGCGCATGTTGTGTGCATGGGCTTTATTCTCAGTTTTAACTGGATTTATTGTTTTCAAGTCCACACGAAAACCAGTAGCACCAAGTACCCCTAGGTAAGTAAAGAAAAATGTTAAGAATGCAAACAGAGGTTGAATTAGGTTTTAGTCAGGGTTTTGACTGGACATGAACTTCATATGATAGATAGAAGTCATAAAACAGACCACTAAGTGTCCTTGAACAAATAAGATAAGACTGGTCAAGAACAGAAAAAAGTTGAAAATAATGAAATTTATGAATTTGATTTTTATTGTTTTGTGGAAGGTCTCAAATTTCGCATGAACATGAAAGAATTTTTGATATTATTTGTGATGCATGAAAAGGCCAAATTATTTTATGTGACTAAGTTTTACAAAGGGGTATAGAGAACCTGCTTGCAGGTTAAACAGATGGTGTTAACACTTTACTCCATAACATCAGTGTGCATGTTCTCCATACCATTTTCTAGACATTTCCGAGGGTTCTTACAAGGAGAATTTGTTCAACAATCAAGAGCTTCTTTAGTTGGTGATCATCTCCTTTATTCTTGTGACCTTAATGTTTGATTCAGGGGAGTTACTGCATGGAGAAATTAGATGTTAGTCAGTCTTAGGGGTGAAAGGGCTAAATGGCTTGTAACTAGCTTTTATTGAATGTAACATTCAAATATGATCTGTTTTTCTCTACAGACTAGTTTACAAGTGGTTTTTATTTGTACACAAAGTAACCTATGGCCTGGGAATATTAGGCTATGTGATTGTTTGTATGACCATGCTAGGAATGAATCTGATGTTTGCAATTAAGCCTGATACAGCAATGGAGTTTGGAGTGACAGTATTATTCTACGGACTTTATTTTGGAGTTCTTGGCAGAGATTTTGCGGAGATTTGTGCTGATAAAATTGCATCAAAACTAGGAGTAAGTTTGAGGATATGATTATTTTACCTTTTTTTTAGATCCTAATTTCTTGTTGTGGTATGCTGTCAGCTAGACTACATACCCTTGTACATACAGTCCCTCCTCTTCGGAGAATTGTGTCGCGCAGGTAAAAGAAAAACAAGCTTACTCACAGGCTAAACAGACAGTAGGAAGAGGTCTTATTAGTGGTGGTAGATGGACAGTAACTGTCCTTTTTTAAATTTTATGATACTGAAGAGGAGGTTTTTTTGTAGATACATGTACATTAGCTGTATCAGCAAGTACAGTATGCACTTGCCATTTGATCACAAACTAGGAAATATGATATAAGCATAGGATAAATTCATGTATTTGATATATCTCACTTTGTGGTTTTGTTTAGTACACAAGTAAAGGTGGCCTCCCAAGCAGAAGTCTGGAGACTAATATTTGTGCAGTATGTGGCCAGGAGCTTGTGTTGCGTAGTGATGAGGATGAGGACGATGGGCCTGAGAAAACTTATAAACTTACATGTGGTCATTTGTATCCTTACCGATTTTATTATAAAATCTTATGATGCTGTTTGATGCAATACGCCGATCAGTTCGAAGCTTCAACATGCCCCGCGCAACCCTCGGGCAAAAATTAACTTCAAATGCCCCGCCCTGTTCTTTTTTAAAAGGCAAAATCAGCGACCGTGACTTTCTGCAGATTGACCAATCTTTAAAACCTAGATCTTGTAGACCTTTTCTTCTGAGCCGTTCGCTCGCGAAACACATACATTTAAATATATAACACTTACATTCCGCAGGAATGACTCACCACATCCGGTTCAAATTCTCCACTCTAGCAAATAACCGTAGGTGTATTAGGGGGCGGGGCGGGAGTGATGTTGAAACTTCGAATCGAGTTGCGCGTAATTCCTAAGTGAGAGAAGTGACCCAAGCTCTCAGACTGGTTAGACTGAATTTTGCCGATTTTAAGACCATCAGTATTGTGTGGTGTTTTTGTTTTTCTTTATTTTTTTCAGTCGCGTGCTTTCTTTGCAATAATTTTAAAGGATAATCTTAGTAAATTAATTTGTCGGTTGTTAGTTCAGTTTATAACAAGTCAAACTTCGTAACCGACAAATTTATGCATTAGTCCTGATTCTTAACCAAACACGATTCAGATTTCACGAGTTCTGTATTCGAGGCTGGTGTATTGTTGGAAAGAAACAAACCTGTCCGTATTGTAAAGAGAAAGTGGACCTCAAGAGAATGTTCTGCAACCCGTATCCTTTTTTAAATTGTCATTTGTTGTTGTTGTTGTTTTTTTAACTGGATGGTTTAACACGGAAGGAATAGACGATCAGACTTGACTAGCATTCTACAACCATTGATTGATTTAAGTTTCCCTTGCTCATTTCTCGTAATGCATTTCCTTGATCGGGCAGGTAGGCCTCTGCAATCCCTCCATATGTTTGTTGCCCTCTTGGCGGAAGTCGAATCAGATTACATCTCACGTCCGTAGTGCATGCAACTCGATTAAATTATTGGCACGAAATTAGTGGGCGAATTTGTTGAGTTAGCAAATGGTATCATGCACAATAATGCCCCCACAAACAATGAGTAACTGAGGACCCAGCTCGAAATTTATCATCATTCGTTTGCTATTTATTCGCATGACGCTGTTGTCATTGCTGATCCTAACAATGCGCAGGACGCTTGCCACAGGTGAATCTAGGGTAGGCCTCAGTTCGCTCACGAGTTCTCTCTCCTTCTGTGGTAGAGCATCGGTCTTGCGAAATCCGCAAGTCTGGGAGCGACTGCTTGTGAGGAGCTCAGATTTATTTTTTGTCCCACACTCGTGCTAAAACGAATAGTATTTCATAAACAGCCTCAGACAGCATCTCATGCGTTGTCTTGGGAAAATAAATTTAAATTGGTTATCATTCAATCGCGAGACGTCGTGAGACGTCGCGAGTTCCCCAAACATCCATTATCATGTCACCTGGCAACGTCGAATCAGCCGAGCCATGGAGGCCTGACTTCGTCAACAAATAGCCCCTTCCCACGCATTTCTTTCTCTCTGCCAACGATTCAATGTCTTTTCCTTGACCAATCCCTAGGTGGGAGCGCCCTCACGTCCTATTTGGACAGCTGTTGGACTGGATCCGATATCTAGTGGTTTGGCAACCCATAATAATAGTTGTAGTTCAGATAATAATTTATTGTTTAGGGTTAGAGTAGCTACGGCTGCTGTTTCTTCAAAGAATGATTTAATCTACCAAAAACTCGCATAAATTTATCGTCAAACAAAGTTTTATTTGCCCAAATTCAAACAGCAATTGGAAGAAATGCCCAGATATTTGTTCAGTACTTTATTATATCAAGAGATTTTTTTTAATTGTTAAAAGTATGGTTCCGTTCGTAGTTTGGTTTTCGAACTGGAACATGTATTTATCGCACCAAACAAAACGTCGTATTCTTTCGTTCAAAAATAGTATGAAGAGTTATTTTCAAAGTTTTGCTATTAACTTGTCCCTCGGTTTCATCGCAGAGCGTGCGTTTTGATGGTACTTTCATGTATGACCTTAAAATACTTACCGATTTTTACGCTAACAGCTTCGATTTCTTCGTAGGAGAGCATTTTAAAAGTGTTTTTGCTCTGGAAGTAGCGAATATTTTCTAAGACCTACCACGGTTGGAGTTTGATTATAAATAACCGCATGGGTCACTGTTTTGTTCCGAGCTGGTTTCTAAAAGTGCCAGTCACTTTTTATCTTAAACTATCGGTGTCACTATTTCTTTTCTGATTGGCCGGCTAAAAGCACACAGCTGTTCGTCTTTAGCGTGGTTTCGTTACGCAATTAGAGACCAAAGGTTTATTGCAAGTGGCGCACTCTAAGGCCGAATTACGGAAAAACAGTTTTCAATTCTTAGAGCTCAAAGGGATCGTTTGCTTTGAATTAATATTTTAAATAAGAGAGTGCTCAGCCTCTTTATTTCTAAATTTCAATCTGTCTTTCTTTGTTAGTTTTAATAAATTTCAACTTTGCCGTCTTACGATTACTTGAAATGTATTATTGTCAGTGATAATCCTAATTTTATCAGAATGTTTTTTTTCTTTTTTTTTTAAAGGAAACTCTCATCCTTAACTCTCTGTCGGCGAAATAAAACGTTTTATCCAGCACAGTTGTTGCACGCGTACGAGAATCTTCTAGGCCTTGGTTTGTTTTATCTTTTTTTTCGGCTTTCGGAGAAGACACAGACCACGGCCTTTATGATTCTCAGAGTTATTCTGAACCTTATCTATTCTTAATCCAACAAATACGTTTCCTGCCGTCTGAAAGTTCGAAAAAATAATTTTATGAGAATCGCAGTTGGTGGGCAAACTGTGCAACTGACATCTCCGATTATATTTGGATTTGATGGTGCAACAAAAAATCTTTTTTTTGATCAGCAGACATAATAATCTCGCATATTGATTTTCGTTTTTAGAGGAATTAAATACAGAATTTATCGCAATAGTATCTATAAATAAATGAAAAATGAAGTTTTTGAAGGCATAGTATGTGAATAAGATAGAATAATTGGAAAACATTTTATTAGAAGCACGCTGGAGTTCTAATGGAAAACAGAGTTGGAAAACCTGTCAAAATATTGCATATTGATCGACGGAACAAAGATAGCAGCTTTATATTAGAAGGGGGTTTTCGTGGAATAATAATAGTTAAGATGATCCTATTCTGCTTTTCTCTTGCACACCTTTTCCATCGCCATTACGTGAACACCGTTGCAATTAATTTTAGTGAAAACAAATTCTGATTGTGCTGAGTAGGTAGAGCAAAAAAAAACAATTTCCCTCCAAATGAAAATCAATTTCCTGCTAAGAGAGGAAATTGCGATCTCTCCGTTTGAAGGCCGAGGTACTCAGTGAGAGAAATTACCAATTAGTCAACTTGAAAGGTTTGGTGGAGAAAACATCGCTCTTTTGTCATTTACACGTTTGTTAAATGAAATAAAGTAACTGGCGCCGGGGGAGCGTAAGTTAATTCGAAGTGGAGGAGTGGTGTGAATGTCGACAAGCAGAACCTCCGTTTTCTTGATTTTCATGGTAAATAAATGAATTATTTCGTCTGAAAGTCATGCCCAGCTCAATTACAGATTTTTAAAATGCAAACCTCTTTTCAGAAAAGGTAAAAAGCTTTCTGTATTTATATTAAAAAAAGAAAAAATTAAGAAACTTTCCTCTATCCTCCTCCTCTTCCTCCCCCTCCCCCCCCCCCCCCCCCCCCCACAACACTAACACATCCTTCTAGGGCTTTAAATAAAAACTTAAAAACATAGGCTTCGCAGCTGGCCGTCAGCAAAAAAGTTTATCTGATAAACTTATTCCGACAAAGCATAAAGATAAGGAACGGAGGAAAACCTCTGTAGTTACGTGAGGTTGCCACAATACATTGCTATCTTCCTAAATGGAGAACTCGAGTCTAACTTTAGCTCTAAATTCATCAGCGTCAAAATCAGGATGCGATGAATGGTTGGACATGATCTTTTTAGTGTTAGACGGATTATTATCAGGCGTAATTATAATCGGCAATGGAGTAACTTGTCTTATTCTCCTGAGAAACAGCCATTTCAGAAGCTGTTTTATGAACACTTTCCTCGTAAGTTTGGCTGTTGCGGATATTTTAATGGCTGTGTTTGTGATGCCGGGTGAGGTGATCTTTTGTACAAGTTGCAGCCAACCAGTCAGCGAATATTGCTGGCTAATCGGTTCCGTGAGATATTTTGTTTTTTCGGCAACGAAACTCAATCTGCTCGCCATTACCTACGACAGATACACAGCGGTGATGAGTCCTCTAAGGTACAACGCAAAAATCAACTTGAAGAAAGTCATCTCAATTCTTTCATTAGTATGGACGTTTCCCATGATTTTAACACTGAGCCGTTTAGTTTGGTGGATCAAGCTACCTCGGCATCAAGCTTTATACGCGGACCGTATCTTTAACACGTGTCTTATGTTCTCGCTGGTTACTCTACCTGTTGCTGTACTATTAGTTGCGAACCTCAGGATTGTATTGGAAATCAGAAAACAGCATCGTCGAGTGAGCACAATGGACAAAGCAAGCGTAACAGAAACTTGCTCAAGTAGCAACAATGCAAGCAATAAGCACAGACGGAAAACATCGCGTCAGGCGGGAAGAAAGGGAACAACGGCTTGTGTTCTTGTGGTGTTTATTTTTGTGATGTGTTGGTTTCCCAGGGGATTGTATAATATTTTCAGGCTGTTTGGCAAAGAAGGGCCGTTGTTGAGGGAACTAAGCCTGTTTTTCCTGTTTGTTCAGTCAGCCATTAATCCGTTCGTATACTCGTTTTACAGAACTGATTTTAGACGTGCGTTGGTAAGACTTCTGCGATGTCGTTAGTCCCGACTACTCTCCAGTCTCCTCCACAGCTGCTAATATAGTTGACATGACAGTGACACAGATTATTACCCCCTCCAGCCCCCAACGACTCTTTTGCCTGAACAACTCTGAGTGAGTTGTTAAGGCAAAAGAGTAGCCCCAAGTTCAATCGTTGCAGAGAAAAGAGCCTACAGCACAACCGCAGAGTTCTTAGAAACGTAGGCTACCCTAGAAGCAGGTTAAAATAGATAAGATAAAGACGTAGGAAAATAGATGAGATAAAGATGTAGGCAAAATAAAAACATTGAACAATTTAGACCTTCTGAACATGTAGCTCTTGTTTGGTTGATTTATTCTCGGTACATTTCAAGATTCAAAACTTCGTTATGTATGACTCATTAGCCGGTTGCGTCCCAGCATTTTTTGCTGTAATGACGCCTTAATATCTAGCTAGCCGAAGTGCAGCTGTATTGTGAGATAACAGATATAGAAATTTGGCCGGACTTCCTGACATTAGTAGTAAAAGAAAGGCGGTGCTTTAAAGACAATTAAATGGCTCCGCTATGACAAGGCTAAGTGGTATAATTTATTTAGCTGTTCTGAGGCTATAATTTAATGTGTCTGTGAATATTATTTGTCACCCATGAGTAAGTACTGGAACGTCCATGAGAATTATTCCAAGACGTCTATTGCTATAGGCTCTTTGGCGTGCTATGATCGGGAAATATTCGATTCTGTCTCCCTGTGAGCAATGCCGACAGAAGAAATCAAAACTAATCCCAAATACCAGAAGCAAATTGACAAGTCTTTTGCGGTTATATATCACAACCTGAAACGGATACATGATGCCAAGCCAACAGAGGCGGAACAACTCGAAATTACGGACCCTGGTTCATCGTCACAGCGTAGAAAAAACCGTTCATATTCTTCGCCATCAGAAAGAACTCTCGTGGGTACGGAAAAAACATCTTTGGCAACGACACACCAAAATCCAACTCACTTCATGGTAAAACAAAGATCTCTTTCCTCCATGCAAGGTTCTAAAACAGAGGGGCTAAAGAACAGAAGAGTGAGTTTTTCAGTGGACACACTTACCAGTTTTAGATAGTGTTTGAAATGGTACGAGACCCTACCAGACAAGGATCGAAACTTTCACCCGATGCTCTACACCGTTCATTAACGAAAAAGGTCCGTCCTTGGTTGTGGTTTTATCATCCTTTCATCTATCATACCTGTCAAGTGATCGCCATTTTCTGATAACTTAATGAAAGAGTGTGTTTTTAAAGCAGGTTAGCGTTATTATTATCGGGACTGATTTTGTGAAAAGATACGAAATGAGTGAGAAGTGTTTTTGATATTTCACCTAACTTTTTGAGGTTCTTGGTTAGATAGGATCTATGTATGTTTGGAGGTGGTAGATGGTAGATGCGCTCTTGTTCTGTCATTGTATATTCTGCCTTTCTTTAATGTTTAAATCGCCATTGATGTTCGAAGGGCCACCTCTTACAAGGGGCTCTGTAAACTCTATGGAAGGCAGCTTGAAAGTCTTGTCTTGGGGCATTACATATTTTGATTGCCAGACTGATCTTTGTATCATCAGTGCGTTGCTGCAGTTAAGTAAATCATGCCTGTAGTATATTCTAACGCCGACAAAACTCTCAGTGTCAGAAGAAGACCAGCTATTTACATTTTTTGCTCAAAATTTTACGATTATCAGTAAAAACTAGTCGAAGTCTGCGGAGCAAAAGATTCAAAGAAGCTTGAAGGAATGAAACGAACCCACGGGCGCAGGATCCACGTATTTGTCAAGTTCACCTGACTCGGAAGCAGTCGTCATCTCTTTAGGCAGATCAACAAGATAGCAAAACCACGATTCATCATGGAAAAGCAATAATTTTCAAGCCTATATTTGTCTGTGGTCACTTTTTTTTATATATACAGGAAGCTGGGCATGCATTCCAGTGAACTACTATCGAAAATTCGAGCATAGTCAGCAAGCCACGAGTTTATTTTAAGACCTCATTAGAAGCAATTAAAAGGGTCTTTTTTTTTTTTTAGTTTAGGCTTTTACCTTGAATACCTGGACAAACGTTTTTCGTGTATGCCACTGATAAATCTTGGTATTGATCTCAAGACAAGCACAACGTAATAAATACGAGACTCGAGAGTGAAACATTGTTCTTGTTGACAAAGTGCTGCTCATTCAACCATCGTTTGTTGATGATCCTTAGCGGTGCGCTAATTCAGAGAGCGATTTACAGAGAAGCCCGAGGTGATAAACACACCTAAGCAAATAAAGATTTTAGGCAGTGAAAACGTGGCATAAAATCAAGGATTTTTTTTTTACTTAAAATCATGGTTTTTATAAAGGAACTACCATCTCGGTGAGCGAACTTGCCTATCACGACAACTGGTGCATATAGGTGTTGCTCTCTCTATTGTTATGGATGACTCTCAAGCTAATGGCATTATATGAGTGTAAGTCTGAGAGGCATTAATTTGGCATGGGACCATGATAAACTGCACGTAAATTAAACAAAGCTCTGGATGGGTGAAACTTTCATGGATCCCGCTAAGATATACGTATAAATATTTTTCAAAGCATCGAGAAAACGAAGGATCGATCTGGAAGAGTATTGTTGTAGGATATAACCCAAGTCTTTTAATTGTCTTCTTTCGCATGAATAACTTGATCTAGATAAGAATAAAATTAATCGTAAAAATGAAAACATTCAAACTAGCCCCGAGGGCGTTTATTGATTCCTACGGATTCCGCAGAAAATAAAAATACATATTATCTTATTATTATTATATATATAGATAGATATTTAAACATCCCTCTCCCATGAAGAAATTAGAGTCCAGTCTTTCATGCAGGTGTGGTAAATTCAGCCTTTGGCTGTTAATGACGCCCAAAAAGGTCTTGAACTCCAAATAAAAACAAGCGAAACATTTGAGACAATAAAAAGCGCTAAACTGTTACTTAACCTAAAAAACGTGTGTCCACGTCTCTATCAATGTCGAGTTGAAGGTCTTTGAACATGATTGGTTGATTAATCAGACAAGGCATGTCGCGCGTGAATACCTATGTAACATTAGACATTTTGGCGTGTAGTATCGATGAGTATTTTCACGAGTGATGTCGTATTTTGACGAGCCCTGCGGGCTAATTAAAATACATAAAGGTAAAAGTACTCAGTGATACTACACACCGAAACGTCTAATACGTTATTTATTATCCAATAGCTTCATTCTATCTTTCTTTTCTAAGCAAGCGTAGCCAACCTGTCAATCAGGTGTTTTTTTAACGTTAAAGATAACCACCTTTATTGTAGCGCAGCGCCATGATTGGTCAAATTTCTCTGATCGAACTTTCGCCTAATGCCAGATAGATGTGCACAGCCGAGTTTTGATAATATTCATCTCGAAGTGCTATCCTTTTTAGTACGTTTGAGGGTCTTACATAAGAGAGAGAAAGAAAAGTTGTTTTATTTTATGTACCATCCCGCTGAAGCTCTTGAGCTCGTTTTTAGTATACGAGGTCCTCATTATCCCAATCTTGGGCCTTTAAAATTAGTGTGTGGCACGTCTTTCAGAATTCAATCATACAAAGATTGATTTTCTTGAAGGTTTCGTGCGCTGTTATCACGCGGCATCTATACCTTAATGAAATTTATATCTTCATTCCGTTTCTTATCATCCAGTCAGGATAAATGAGGGCGAAGCGGGAGGAGAAAAAAAAAAAGACGAGAGAGGGTTTTTATCTTTGCATGTGCGTCACTTTCGCCCTGCCAACGCTTCCCTAGTTTATCATAAAGGAAAATTTTGTGACCCAGGCTTTTAGTAAATAAAATTATTATTTCTACCTGGTTCAGTATTTCCCAATTCTTATCAAGATAAATATTTCAAAATAGTTAAAACTCTCCCTATCATCGCAAACAATGAGTATTGACAGTCACTACATTTTTAAGTGTCGAAATTTTCATTAAATTTTGAAGATACTTCAAATTATCAAATTCACGCCGTTATTTTACGCGACTGCTGAATATTATGATTACAGTTCTAGATTGTCAATAACTTCAGAGCAAACACAGCCTCTACCATGTTATAAAACGCTTTCAAATCAGAGTAATCACAAAATTCCAAGTTGTACACGCGGCGACTTGTCGCAATCGAAGCAATGTGCCCAAGGTTTCCACTTTCATAACCTCCAACTCTTCTTTTTCGCCAGGTATACTTCAGGGCACTGGAGACAAGCCTTCCTGGCTGCACCATGCTAAGCTCTGAAAGATTGATTTTCATTTTAAGAGATTTTTGGTGCGCTCATGAATTTAAGAATAGGAAAAAGAATATATCCCATGATTCTTTATGTCTGCCTTACAAGAGATGCTTGCAATTGAGTTGTGAAAGTAAATGTTTGTTTTACAAAACAGACGCATATTCCGTACGTGAATATCCTCAAAGCAGAGGTATCACAACCATTCCCTGCAGTTTTTTCAAGTTTCTCTTAGAGAATAAAGGTACTCTTTGTTTGGGTGAAGGGCGACAGAATGAGGGTCAAGTGGGTCGGTGACTGTTAAGTGTCTTGTTAGAAGCAAAAATAACAACCTGACCTGATACTTCACTTGAGAGCATTTGGAAAACAGAAAATAGAGGATCAAGCGGAGGGACTTTAACTTCCACATGAACTTATTTCTATGGTAATTATTCCATTTTCAAATCAGCTATCCCAGGATGACTTAAATTGATCATATTCATTGAGGCAATTGAATTCTTCCCGGGAGACTCATACGTCCAGATCCTAAGCTTAATTAACTCTGGAGGGATAAGACCTGTATTAGGGATTGGAGTTCATAGCTTGATCCCCTTTTGACTAAGAAGCATGTTTCCTATCTTGGGGAACTGGTCCCAAGAAAAAAATGTTCACAAAAGACGAAAAGATTGATAAAGTTGCGCAGGGTAAAAACGTATAGTTACCTTTCAAATCGATGATCTTTTTAGTTTTCTCGTTTTGAATCGCTTCTCCTTCGCCAGATTTTGATCTCAACTCAAGTTTGTGGGAATCTTCATGAAAAAATAGGTCTCCGTAATGCGGCATTTTGTTTCCTAATACAACAGAAAGGTGTTAATTAAGCATTAGATTCAGACAGGATACCTCTATCTATCATCTGAAAAGCTACATTGAGGCAGATCTCCAACATTTTCAGGCCTTCAAAACCTAGACCATAGAGGTCATAATGGCAATGAAAAGAGGGGAAATTTGCATGGAGTCAGTGATAACTCAGGGTAAACAATGGGAAAAGGCGAGTGACAAAGTCTCTACAGTTTTCTAGAAGAGTAATGGAACCAACGAAAATCCAGCATGCCTTTAGACAATGATTGTATTTGAGAGAAGAAAAAGAAACTATGCTTCTTCAATAAAAGTACAGGCGTTTTTCAAATCACCTTTCTTTGAGTGGAGGAACACGCCTACACCACCGGAAAGTTTCCCCACGGCGCGTCTTTGGTTGAACGTTCTTGGAGGTGTAGGGAATTCTGGGAACAACATGCGGTAGGTGAAGGCCAGGGCTGTTGCTAGGATACCCCCTGTTACTTGGGCTTGTGGTAACTCACTTAAGGAATAATGATCACCAGGACAAACGAGTACTGT